CCCGGTCAGCGCGAGCGACGTTTGCCATCTGGCAGACCGCGCGACGGAACATTTTCATCATCGCAGCCCACGCCGATCCGCGTACACAGCTTTGTAACAATGGCCTGGTGTTGCGAAAGCTTTGATTGGTAATTTTCGCGCAAATTACCGTCGATTTCTCAGCGCCCCCCGCGCACACGCGCCAGCTCCAAACGCGGTGGGAACGTGCGCGGAGTTTGTGCTGCGTCCGCCGCCCCTCGGCGATTCCTAAAGTGTCCGCGTGCGTGACCTCCTGCCGGGCGCTATTGTCAGTGTGCCGTCGTCACATCGCCCCTCGCATCTGTTCCCAATTATAAGGTAGCAGGGATGCAGTAAGGAACATTCGCCAGACACATTTCATAACAATGACCGTTGTACATTTAGCCGGCTGGCGGTGGCTGCGGGCGCCTGTAACCCGGCGCTCGCGGAGGCGAGGGTTGGTGCATCACGCAGGGATGTTTCGAAAGTCCCTTCCCGTGGGCTTTGAGGTGCGAAAACATGAATTTGCCAGGAGAAGGCGTTTTTTTTAGCAAATATGTGGAGTCCACCTGTTACGTCTGTATGATGATGGTGTGCTGTCACTTTGTACGCATTGGTTTTCTACAGAGCATCCGGTTTCCTTCCAGATGTAAACGCTAATGAATTAGCCGATAGCACCTTAATATATGGAGGACCACAGAGCTTGGGGGTGGCAGGGAGGGCAACATTTGTACTTTTCAGAATTATTACGCTCACAACGTTTTGGTTATTTTCCTTCAGGGAATATTTACGCGTCGGAATTCTGCAGACACGAGAGGATATCCTTCTAAACATTCTTACCGAGAGGTAGTCAAACCCTACCGGCCATTCTGATAGCGACTGGCCTTGTCACAGTCCTGAGAGTCGGGAGTCTCGCAACGCAATAATCTTTGCGGCGAGCCATCAACCCTTCTTCAAGAGGGCAGGATTCAACGAGCCAGGCGTTGGGACGCTCCCTTGCGTAGAGAGCCACGCGATTTGCTTGTTAGTCACGACAAAGGACAGTTCCTATTTATCATTCAGGTAGCGGGGCTGTTTGACAGTTAAAATTCGAGCCTCGTTTTCGACAGCTCCTTCTTGCACAGGGCTGTCACATTAATAAAAGTTGGACTGCTCTCTCTTAAAAAAAAACACAACAAACACCACTGCCATTAATCGACCATCACTTGACAGTGTGAAATAGCAGAGTGTGGGCTTCTTCATCAGTGTCAAGCAGTTTGCCTGAGAGGTTCTAATGTGCACGTGTGTGCCCGCAGTGCAAATTCACTCCCGACATTCGCACGCACACAAAGATCCCCCGTGTAGCCTCGAACAGACGGTTGGGGCAAGTGCTGCTAGCGAGCACCTATGAATGCCAGCACGTCACACGAAGTAGGTGCGTGGCTAGCACCACGCCCGGCCGCCTTTTTCTCCCTGGTGGGTGATGTTTACACATCGCTCCAGGTACTCATTTAAGGCTGATTCGATCCAGGGGAGGCTCCGGTAAACGCTGCTGTTATTGGCTGCGAGCGCGAATCGAACTCGGGTCACCAGGTTCGTAGCGCACTGCGCTCCCCGCTCCGCTGCCGCTCCCCACGTCGCACGCGCACACAAACGCAGAGATGCAAATTCGTACGCGCGCACAATTACGACGGCGCCCCTATTCTCCCAGCAAGACTCTTGATGCCCACGGCTGCTATTTAGCCAGGCACGTCGTTACGAGGGGGTTGTGTGGCCACCTCCGTGTCGAGTGCTGACGCTCCCACAATGCACCAGGTACTTATTTAAGGCAGAGTCGGTCAAGGGGTAGGCTCACAACAAGCTCTGAAACCACTTGCCGGTGATGCTATCATCAGTGGATCTGATTCACTGGCTCTTAGTGCAATTCGCTGACCACCTGCGTAGATGTTTTACTCGCCCAACCGACAACGAATGCAACCACGCGTGCGCACAAGTGCACTCGATGAACATTGGAAAAATACAATTTAAAAAATATCAATTAGTTAGGGCAGATAGTTGTGTTACTGCGACACTTATTTAATCAAGGAGAGCCTCACAAAGTCTCAAGACTCTTGTTTTCAGAAGGGTCCTGCAAAGTTGTTTGGAGTAGGAGGGCGATGACGCTCCGTGGGATACCGGTTGAGTAGTTGCAGATCTTTCCTTTCAGCATTGCGATATTTTGGCCAGTACGAGCTACGTTGTATTTTATTATTTTATTATTTAAATCTATCATCTATGGGAGAAAAATCAGTGAATCCAGAGAAAACCCACGCAGGACACGGGGAAGAAAATACAAACTCCAAGCAGAAAGGTGCCCGAGTGAGGAATAAAACCCAGGCGCTTCTTGCTGTGACGAATTGGTGCGAATGCTGCGCCACTGTGCACACCCTATAATGCCGGAGCGTCCTTTACTTACTCAGGAAAACCTCGATTCAGTGCCAAGACATTTTTTTTCAGGAGATGCTAGAGATGCTTGGCCAATTTCCTCTTTGAGTATCTTAGTGCGTGCAAATGCAATTCAGAGTAAAGATACAGGGAAAAAGACTGCACAACGGCGATCTTTTATAGACTATCAAGGCGAGCGGTGATAGCGAGCAGCTCACTGAAGGCTTGCCAAGAGCCCAGCGGGTGGGGATGATCAAAGCTATGCATAGTTGGGTCGACACCACACCATGAACTCATTTAAGGCTGGGTCGACCTAGGGGAGGCCCACACTGGGTTCGGGTTGTCGTGTACGACCGATAGTGTGCATGGCCAGGAATCGAACATTGCTCCCTGTGACCGTAATGCAATAGCCAAATATCCCGCTTGTAGCTATATAGTTTGTTGTAGGCCAAGTGCTGTGAGTGATCACCTATTAAGGTGAACGCAGTAGATAAAAGTGCTGATGTGGTCAGCACCACGGACAGCAACCTTTGCTTCCCCAGTGCCCTGATGCTTATGCAGCACACCAAGTACCCATTTCGGGCTGTGTCAACAAAGAGGGGACCATGACAGTTTCGGAAACCACGTGCCGTCGATAGAATGAATGTCCTCGAATTAAACGCAGGTCACTGTGACCATAATGCAGAGCGTGAACCACAAGGATATAATACACGCGCGCGCACAGACACATCGCTAACGGAACTTTAAGCCGATGTAATTATGCTCAATGTTACTCCATTCCAAGAGCGACGTAGCAATTCAACAAAGTCTGGGGAAGATGGGAGGGACACTCGGCTCGGCTATTATTCTGCGTTGAACATTTTCCCGTTCTCAGAGCAGAAGTGAGGAAGAACGATTCCTCCCATCCTCCGCTGAAATCGGCTACAATTGTGGAGGCTTTATTACACGGCTTCAGCTGAACAAACATGTACAATTGAACATGCACATTAGCGTACACCCATGCAACACACATTATCAACCCTGAAGGAGATAAAATCCAATTAAAATGAAATTAAAATAATATTTGCCCACTTACAAAAAAGAGGATGTTTCAAGTCTGACAGAAGTCGGAGCCTTTTTGTATTATTTTTAGCTCGGCGTTTTTTTTTTTATCCGATTGTTCAAAGAATATCTAAACGTAGACATAAATAAAAAGTGAATTAGCTTTGAAGATGATCCTGAATTGGTCACGCACATAAAAGGATGATGGAATAAAATCACCATGCATTTAGTTGATGATTTACTACTCGCAGCTGGCAAACCGTTGATGCTGGCATAGAGGATGGGGAGTGAAATCTAAATCGAGGTTCCACTGAAGACAAAAACATTTCAAACACCGTTACATGCCTATATTTTATTGACTATCAAAAGGTATTTGATTCAAGGGAACCTGAAGCAGACACCGTACCGCTCACGTACATGGTGTTCATCAAATAACTAATCGAAATAATCTGCAAATAATGAGCTGCTACACTAAGATTGCATAAACAAAGTAAACATGCAACATTGGGCCAATGCTGGCACGTGGTTGGAAACTGTTGGGCCTACGTTGGCCCAACGTTCAATGTTTACTGGGAAGAAAGGGGCAAAATGTACTTCAGAAGAGGATGCGGATGCAGAGATATGCTCTGAGAAAATATATTTACAGCAATGTTAAAATATATTTCCAAAAATATATGGATTAAAATAAAGGCATAACCAAGCCAAATAAAGGCATATTAGCCTTCTCGGATTTGCCGATGACTTATTCATCACAACAGACAATTAAAATGAATGGCAGGAAACGCCTGAATAACTTTGCAAAGAAGGCTGAAAAAGTTGTATTCCAACATAAATAAAACAAAAGCTGTGCACACAGAGAGCGAAGTGTGCAGATCGAAGTACAATCATTGCTGAGAGGACCACGACTAGGAAAAACATCAGAGTATGTGTGTACCTAGGACAAGAATTAGAGAGGCAGATAAGGATCGATCAAAAATGTGGAAAACACGGGAGGTGAACAAAAGCACGTACGTTTTCCGTGTTTTGAAAAAATAAAACTCAACACTGTCGGTGCTGGAGACATTGGAACGTGTTTTCTGCCAAAAGCATCGGGCGATACAGAAGCAAATGAGTGGATCATGACACAGTTATTTTTCATTTATTTTAAAAGTGGCTGCTTCCGTAACGGAACAAACACTTCTTCTCAAAATTGTTATGCGGTTGTGCGTACTACTCTCTGGCGGGGGGGGCTTCATTTCCCACCGCATCTGTCCGGGTCACTGACCATTTCTCCATCCGGCACACCACCTTCAGTATAACTCTCACTACAGCTGTGGCAACTGCTGGTCACGTGTCTGCTCCAGTTTAACGAGCGATCCAGGAAATATGAATGCAGTTAATGAATGCCTGCCACTATCCAAATGCACGTTTTCCATTACAACGCAGGTGGTAAATGACGTGCGTGCGCGCGTCTTTGTGTGCCTGGGCATGTGCGCCGCGGTGACGTCGACGGCCACTTAGTGGCGAACGGCGTCCGCTGCTGTTGTGCGCGTTGTGATGAGACGGCGAGCGCGACTCACCTCCTCTTTCTCGGCACTGACGAGGTCGCGCCACTCCTCGATGACGTGGCCCAGGTCGATGGTGTTCATGGGAACCTTCACCTCGCCGATGATGTCATGCTTGGAGAATCGGTCAAAGTCGTAGACGGCCATCACCAGGGTCTTGCCGCCCAGCTCCGAGTACGGCACCTGCACCACAAAGATAGAGGGCCCCGCGGTGAGCCTCGCAAGCGCGCCCGCGTGCGCCGGGAGCTGCTTTTAGTGCTTCGTTTGTTGTCCTTGCCCCCGAGCCACCGATGGGCGCGGTTGGCTACGTACGGTGCGAAAGAAGTTCGACACAATGTGCATACTCGGGTCATCGCAGCGCAATAGTGTGTTGCGTGGGCAGCAACGTTGCGTTTGTTGTTGTTGTTTACGTGGTGAGTCAACCTCAGGGAGGCGGCAAGACATGCTTCAGCAGATGATCCCTGCCAAAGGATCAGCAAAGCCAGGAGTTGAACCCGCTGACCTGTGTTCGATTCTCGGCCGTGATTTGTAGCTTCACGATGTCAAAAATACGCGCACACACACAAAACACGTTGTCTCCCCCGCGCCGATGTCCACATGGCACCTGGGTCTGCCCCGTGACCTCCTTCCAGCGGGCGTATGACACTTCACGTGGCCTTAAAGTGCACCTAGCCTGGCACAAGCATCGCGGTGACGTCACCGACCACTTTGTGGCGAATGGCGGTTGTTGTTGTTGTTGATGTTTACACGCCGCACCAGGGTACTCTCGTGACGCTGGGCTGGAGTGGGCCCAAGACTAGTATGGATGTTAGCCATGGCCAGGCATTGAACTTGGGCTGACAGGTTCGTGGTGCAGTGCGCTATCACGCGCACACGCACACAGGGTCACACTGAACACACGATGGATAAATTATTCACCACAATTCTCGGTAAGCCCACGAGTACCAGTACTACGGTGTAGTTGCGACGCCATTACTATGCGTGCACAACAAATACGTGCAAATCAAGGTGTCCGCAGAGTAAATGGGCGTTAGGCAATGGAAATCTCCGTGGGACAGTAACGTTGGTTGATCTGAGAACTGGGCCGAGAGTTACAATGTTTGAAAGAGAATGAACGTGGCTCAGCGATTTCAGTCCGCTGCTCAAATTTAAATCGAATTGGAGGAGACAGCCCCCCCCCCCCGACTTCCCCACCTCAACGATAGCGAGCCAACAAACGATCTGCAAAAGAAAAGGGTTAAAATGTAGTCTTCCGTAAATACTGGGTGTCCATAAAAGCTAACTTGGTGCGTAAATCAGTCGACGGACGTTTCTTTGTAGCCGTGGATACACGACAGTACAATATTGTCGCGCACAGAAACAAGAACACTTGGGAGATTGCCTGAAAGAAAACCCAACAAATGTATATAACAAAAAAATTTAACTTATTACGTTCTCGGGGCTATTACTCATATCTGATGCAGTACATATTGACAGAACATGACACAGCAAATTAAGTACACTTAGGATTATCTCTGCGGTCATTCATTCTGTCCGTTTTCTTTTTCTCTAAAGAGACCGCGGGGGGGGGGGGGGGGGGGCGAAGCGCCCTGCGCAGTGAAGCGCAGCGATGCAGACGACACAGACACAAGGGGGGGGGGGGGGCACTGTTCACCGCCGGCACCGTTAACGCGGCACCACAATGATGAACCAAACGGGGACGAGCGGAACGAAGCCACGGCGGATTCCCGGCACGGTCGTTTTGTTGCAAGGGCGTCGTCCCGCCCGCACGCAACAACCGCAGGGCGCCTCCCCCCCTCCACCACATCTCCTTCCTACCCCCTTCCCCCCAACCTCGGCGTCCGATTTTCCGACGTTTGGTGACGCGAAGGCCGCCACCGCTCCGCTCGTGCGGGCGGTTTGCCAGTAGAGAGGCCACGCCGCCAGGTTTATAGTTTCCACAATGGATTCTCTCATTTCAGATGTGAAACTCCACCGCGGTTTGATCGCTCTGTGGATGGCGCATCCAGCCACGCACGCAACCACCCGCACCCACCCAACAAAAATAACAAGAACAACAACAACAACGCGTGTCCATTAGCAAAGCCAAAGTCAGAGCGTCTCTGCCCTGCTATGACGTCCGTAATCGTACGACTCACAAGTTCCCCGATTGCCAGTTGAGTCGCTCGCTAATGCTGGATTTGACATTTTAGCTTCTTGAGGCACGGCGGCGAATATTACCGAACGAAAAATGGGCCGAGCCACTTCTCACTCGACTGACTCCCCAACAAAACGTCGCTTGCTTCGTCCGTCAATATTTTAGACTCCTCGTGTGACGGTGCGGTGTCTTTGTTGTTTTTACTCCGCGCGCTCCGATTGCTTTACTTCATTGCTGTACTTGGATTTGTTTCCTCGTTGCTTTTTGGCATTTTTGGTGGACCAGGCCACTCTTGCTCTACCCAAGGCTCATTCTCGTGCATTGACTTCTTCTCAATAAGCTCAAAAAATTCGCACCCTGGAGGTATCATGAGCCGAGCTGGGCCCTCGACAGGATTTGAACCGCGAGCAAAGTAGTCCGTACGGCGTCGAAGGACGAACAAAGCGTCGCGCGTTTGTGTGACTTGTGACATTTTACTTCCACCGGGCGGTTGGGCGCTTGCAGGTTGTTGGAGAGGTTCCGGGCTCCATTTCCAGGGTGGGGTAAGAGGGGAGGGTGGACAGGGGTGGAACGGGGTAGGTGCAGAGAGAGGGATAGACTTGCGTGGGGCGGGGGGTGAAGGTGGGAAATGGAGCCCGGGGCGATAAAACGAATCCCACTTTTCACGGGAAGTTAACTGTGGTTGCCCTTTAAGAGTGACAGGCCCTGGCTCGGTCGGGGCTGTAAATGCACACGGGCATTTCCCCACGCTCATTCGAATGGAGCAATGCACTGACTTCATTTGAACCTCCTTGAATGGAACGCCGTGCGCTTATGGCGGTGCCGTTGTTGGCACGTACGTGCGTATGCATGTACGCGCGTATGCATGTACGTGCGTATGCATGTGCGCGCGTATGTATGTACATGCGTATGTATCTACGCGCGTGTGTTTGTTGAATTTCTCTCGCACCGTACGTAGTGCAACCGTGCTCACGTTAACTACGAAGCAGGATACACGTGGTGCACTCACTGGGAAGAGTTCATCGTCGTGACATGCTGATCATCGCCAATAACCTTGAAACCAGTGCATGCCTTCTGTTTTGCCCATATGTAATGTATGTACCGGTACTGGCAGAAATCGTAAGACTGATCGCGATAACCATTATATCAATCCCCTGTTAAATAAGCGACATTTTTGATATTATCATACTGCTTTATGGTATTCACTTCGCTTGAGTAAATGCCAATTCTTCACATTGTATGCATGTTTAACTTCTTTCGCACCGAACGTAGCCAACCGCGCTAATCGGAGGTTGCGCCGTTGCCCTCGGTGGAAGGCGTTGACGCGGGGAGCCTATGTCCGATTTCCCTCTCCTCTCTCTCTCTCGTAGCCCAGCAGCTGGGGCCCTTTCGACATAAGGGGGGGACCCCTCCCCCCACCACAGGTGCGGCTGCACCTCCCGGGATGCTCGATGTCTACGGCACTGCACTTCCGTGTGGCTACATCCTCATCAAACTGGCTCCCTGCCGCTCGGCGTGGTCAACCTCCAGTTGATGTTTAGGGACACGGCCTGCGAGGGAGCCACCTCAGCGGAGAGTTTCGAGCCACGCGGCGCCGCGGGCGGGCGGGTTGGAGTCACCTTGAAGACGAAGCTCTCATTGAACACGGGGTTGAGCGTCTTGCGGTGAACCTTGGTCTCGTACTTCTTCTTCTTGTCGGGCATGAGGAAGAGTTTCACGTAGGGGTCCGAGGTGCCCCCCATGTCCAGAGCCGGCAGCTCGGCCGCTTGGATCACCCCGACCGTGAGCTGGCACAGGGAGAGGAGGCAGAGAGGGAGGGTGAAACAGGAGATGGCGCGAACAGAGATGGAATCGAACCGGTAACCTTTCAATCGCAATTCCAGTTTACCAACCGTGACACCATGGCAGCCTCCCCCTGACCAGTGGACTCCCGACTACCTTGTAGTATTTAGATTTCCCAACGGCGCACTGAGATCCCTGGATGAATTTCACCTTATAAATCACCTTACAAATGTAAATGACTATCATTACCTGTCCAAGCCGATGCTAACCCTAACCAGGCAAACCCTTGCTAAAAGGTCGGTGATAATTGAAAAAAATAATCAAAATAAAATAAAAAAAACCGCCACCACGTTTCGATTGCAACACAAGCGGTCGTGATCTTTCTTTCCTGATGACGACCGCTTGTGCGTGTTTTTTTGTACTTGTGAATTTATGATTTATTTACATATTTTTTTTTATCTACGTGACTTTACCGAAAGAACCAAAGAATATTAATTTCTGCAGCCACGAAAGTTTTAAGTCAAAGATCGGTGATGTTAATATTCGATGATGGGCCTGAACCAGTGGTGGAAACTCCACATTACCACGGTCACGGGCCAGCAACCTGTGGCTCCGGTTAAGAACCCGCATGTGGATATTTAGAAACATGCAAAACAATGCTTATGGAGTATGCGGCTGATATGAATTTCCACACGATAAGGCACTTCGTTGAGCTCTCATTTGTGGCCAGGTCGCTTCTGAAAAAGAGCTACATAGCTCAGTGGGCCTTACCTGGTAAAATTAAAATAGCCTTTTAGTCTTTAAGGACTGCTTCGCCATTGTTATTTTATAAAGACCACTGTCTCGTATTCACATGCAATGGTGGCTCTTGAAACAATTTCTTATTTTAGTTGCCAACCCCTGACCATGGTGGAAGGGTCGTTTCTCCACAGTCCCACCACTGGCGACTTCCCACAAAGTGGCACACATTTGGTCAACTCCAGAGGAATCGCGAATCGAATGGCTGAGAGCGTAAGGGAGTTAGAGAAAGATTTAGACACACACACACAGAGAGAGAGAGAGCGCGCACATCACTCTGACAGAAAGATTTCGACGAGAAAGAGGAGCGCAAGAAATAAGGATGAGAGACCACAGAGGAGGAGGCGGTAGGAGCGATCCCTCAACGCGAGCTCTATAATAAGCATGATTTTTTTTAAGACCAGGTGTTGCAATGGAGTTCGATCCACCGCGCCGGCAGCAATGAAGGCATGTCGATGTGTGTGTGTGTTTGGGCAGAACACGGCGGCGCAGAAGCCGATCTCGTGACCTCCGAGGTCACTTAAATGGAGAGATTGAGCACTCGGCCACCGGCCGATTCACTCGATAAAACCTGTCATATTTACTATACGGTCAACAGAACGGAGAGAATACAAAAAATACACCGTGAGGCTCAAGCTATCCCCCCACCTGGATTCTCCAGATAGCTGTGCGAGCGGTGATGTGAAGCAAACGGGAAGCAGCTCAATGAGACGGCGCTCATTGCCATCGGTGGCCCCAAGCCAATGTGGGGGAAATTCCACGTTCTCATGGCAGGGGACAGTTCGCTTCCTACAAAGTGGTGCTCGTTTTGCCATCTCTGAGGAGGTGATGGGGCTGTCGAACGTTGACTAAAATATGCAATTAACAATGTCTGATTGTGAGTTGAGCACTGTGACATCAATGAACGCTCTTTAGTTAATCATCAGGCCAAGTGACCTGACAATTGCAAGGTCACAAGTTCATAAAATCCTGGTCGAAGGTCAACCTGAGGCTCAACAGAATGAGTACCACTTTGTGGGAAAACACGAGTGATTGGTCGATGGTGCCTGGAGGTGTGATGCATGGATTGGGCAGAATAAACCACAAATCATGATTACAAGACTGGCCCCTGCCATAGAAATTTGGAATTTCCACCAACGGATTCAAGGCCATCAATAGATATATGTGCTGTCCCTTTGCTCACTGAAGCAGGGAGATAGTCTGGGAATAAAATTTTCTTAAACCCCCCCCCCCCCCCATAGACCACCGTAGGTTTAAATAGCATGTACGTATGTTGAACTTCTTTCGCACCTTACGTAGCCAACCTTGATAATCCCAGCATGACCTGCTGTTACCGGCAAAAAAAAAATCCTCAAAGTTTGTATTAATAATATTTTCTAAAAAAATATGTAATACGCGACGTTTCAGGCGATGGCCCATATTTGGAGCACATAAGAGAGACCAGAGGGACATAGGCGCCCCTCTGTGTGTGCTGCATGCGTTAGGGTTGTCTGTGATTGGTCCTTGTGCACCACTACCAACGCGGCAGCATCAGCACGTTAATGTTGTTGTTGTTGCTGTTGTTGTCGCTATAGGCATTAATAATGTAGTCGGTGGATGATTGGTGCTTATGGGACTGTTTTTATTTTTTACAAAAATCCCAGTGACTGTTCCCCATAAGCAGGAGACTTGAACTCCATTCAATGCCTGGAATGTATGTGTGTGTATATATATAAACACACGCAAATATATGTTTTTCTGCACGGCATCATGTGCATGAAGGCGTAATGACAATCCCTCATTGGCCAGCGACAGGAAGAGAGAGTGGATATTAGAGTAACGATTCAGGGGAAATGTTGTTTGTGCACTCATATTGGTACATGTCATCTGATACAATCATCTCTGAGCTGCCGGCAGGATAACGAGCCTGTGTGCGATGACAGCTCATAAGCTGCCTATTGTCGGCGCAGTAATGAACCGATCCTACCTTTTGTATGTAAAAAAAACAGCTCCGGTGCTAAGGATTTCCAGCCAATGCGGTCTGATGCACATTCGCAGACTATTTGCCTAACGTGTTGAAGGAATATAAAAACAATTTAAACATTTTTATTTATTTTACCAGGTAAGGTTCACTCACTAAGCTGTTTATCTCTTTTCCGGAAGTGACCTTGCCACAAATGGTAGCTCACCGAAGTGGCTCATCATCATGCGGAAATGTATAACTACTTCGTCTCGTATGCAGGAGGTCGTCGGTTCGATCCCGACCCTGACGCCTGTATATTTTGACTTTGCTTGTTCTCCCTGTGGTCGCGTGGATTTTTCTCCAGGTTTCCCCTCTACGTTTATAATCAACATGCCGTTCAGAGAATTTGCCTGCTGCTATACATTTACACTTGACAAGCCACTTCGCTGAGCTATCACGTGATGGCTAGGTCGCTTCTGAGAAAGAGCTACAGAGCTCAGTGGGCTTTACCTGGTAAAATAAAATTTAAGTTAATAAAAAAATATAACAAAACACAATATTCCCCGTACTTACAACGCACCTAAGTAGACCCTGCGTTAAATGCACTGGTTAACACCACAAAATCATATTTTGTTTTATTTAGACTGGAGAAATCCGATGAGCTGCACTGACTAACATAGCCCCCTGTCTCCCCCCATCGTTAACACCGCTTGCTAGACGCCGTTGAGCCCAATACACCTCGGTTTCCAGTTGAGGTTGTAACATTGCACCAATGCATTGACAAACAGGGGTTCGTAAGGCTCACGATACACGCGTTGAATCAAAGGCGCAGGTAACCCACGGTTCATAAGCCATGCAAATCGCTGCAGATTGTTTTTGCTGGAAACGTTACGTACAGTCTAGCGCAGCGGACAAAAGCCGTACAAGATGAGAAAGGAGGGGTGAAAAAAAACACCGTTCACAATATAAACGAGACGGTAAAAACAAAGGCAACGAGTAACATTGAATTTTGATTTAAAGCTTTCGTGACTGCAGGGATTCATATTCTTGGTTCTTTCGGTAAATTCTTGCTGTGGGTTTCACACCTGATGATGATTGCTTGTGTTTCAGTCGAAATGTCGTGAGAATTTTATATTTTTATATTTTTTATCATTATTTGATTGTTTCCCTTCTACGTGACTTTACCGAAAGAACCAAGAATAAGTAACATTGAATTCGAATTTTGATTCAAATCGTGGCCCTGAATCGTGACAATTCATTGCTTCACAGGGTGGGGGGGGGGGGGGGAAGCGAGCAGGGTGAATGCTCAGCACATGTTGGTTATCACTTTACCCTTTCACACTTAGATGACCCCCCTCCCGGTACATAACTAATGCAACCCACACACCTCATGCACCACAGTAGCCTCTGGACCTAATGAACCTTGGCAGCCCCCATAACTAACATAACGTAGTGGGCCCCACGTGCCTAGTGTGCCTCTGTAACTAACGCACCTGGCTGAATCGCATATAATACAAATGCAGAACCCCCTTCTCTAACAGAGCCTGGTGTGGCTTTGGCAGGGTGTATGTACTTGATGGGCCTTGGCCCTCCCTCGACCTAATGCATCTGACCAGCACATCTTGTACTCTTGCCATTTATTCGTTTTATCTCCTGTGCCCTAACCGCAATAATAACAGCACGAGCGTAATATAACTGATGGTTGAAGACATAATCCACCAGAAGGGGGGAAAAAAGGAGGTATTTAATACTACCGAGTGCGCAATGCACTTTGCGACACTGGACCATGAAGAAAACCCCATGGGCATGCGCTGCATGCTGAGGACTGCGGACTATCGGGGAAAAGAATGGGCAAAATGCAAAATTCATTTTTTTAAGCGTCCTTGTCCGCGCGATGCATTTGTCTTGCGCTAACGCGTGTCACCTCCGCCACCCTCCCAGGAAGATGTATCGCTCGCTCAGGGCACTCGCGGTTTCATTGCGAACGCCGAATGCGTCTTCATCGTGCGCGGAGCCTCATTAGTATGTATTATGAGCCTTTTTCTTCCCCACACTTGAGGATGATAACATTAGCTGCATTTTTTCGTTTAAAAAACATTAAAAAAAAATTGCCGGACGTATCGAGGCTTGAAATTGGCAAATCAACAAAACCTCGGGAGCATCTTAAAATGGCAGGGTTTTGTTGTTGTTGTTGCTGCGTTTTGTGGTAAGGCTCATAACAACCGACGAATTGATTTAGATTTTGTCGTTGTTTTAGCTAAAATATATTTATTAATTCTGACACACATTCAAATTACGGTCGAATTACGTTTCCGTCAATGCTCTGCGTACAAATGCGCTCGTCTGAAAGGTCTGCGGAAGAAAAGCTAGGAATTATCACCCCCGGCAGCTTTGGGGAAAAGGGGGCCTCTGGGTAAAATGCCACTTTATTTGCAGACGTAAATAAGCATACGCTCAAGCCACCCACCAACAGAACGTGCTCAGCAGCTTCCACGGAGAAATATAGAAAGCCGCGTGGAAAGGACGCCACGTGTCACGATTCAGGACCAGCGGCACTGAGATTCCGGGTTTTAGACGATTCTTATATGGGCTTCAACAAAAGCATTCGCGATTAAAACGCGCGCAAGCGAGTTGACGGGCTCAGGTCTCGGGCCCTGGTTCACACGTGTGACTTGCACGGAAACGGTGTGCGCCATGAAAGTTTGGCCTTTCACTTCATTTGCTCGATCCATCTCGGAGACCTGAAAATGACTTTGCTTGATTGTCATGCGATCAAAAACCGACGGCATGAAGGAACATCAACCCCCGTCGTGTCGGAAGACAGAGGCATACGTTTCACAGGGGTGTCAGCGATTCACGGGCACGCTGCTCTGGTGTTCTCCTTAGCACAGCGGAGGGAGGGGGTCGCTGCTTTGATCTCCCACCGTGGCAGTTAAAATAATGGGGGGCAGATTTCTTAAATGCCCCCCCCTACCCCCCGCCCGGGCGACGCGGAGCGGGAGATGCGTGGAGGGGTGAAGATGAGTCGCTTGAGATGGGCACAGCCAGAACTTTGAAACGAGAGGGCGGATGCCGTACCCCGCGAGCGATGAGAAACACAGCGACGAGGTCCTGCTGTCAGTTCCACTGTGACAGCGCCCACGTTGGTGGCACGTGCAGGTACCTGGTTGTTCTGGAAGTCGTAATCGATGGAGAACTGCAGCTTCCCGAGCTTCTCCTCCTCCTTCTCTTCCTCCTTCTCATCTCCCTCCGTGAGGCCAGTCTCCAGGTCTTCCTCCGACTACACCTGTGAGCCGAGAGCAAGGGCACGAGACGCAGACAGAGAGGGAGGCGCAGAGAGACGGGGTGGGGGGGGGGGGGGAAGAATCACAAGTCATGAGCGTGAAGGAAGGACCGCAGTGGATGAACAGAGTTCACGGCATGGGCAGCACAATATCCTGACCGCACTGGCAATGTGGATCTTTTAAACGTGGGGAGGAGACGCCACTCGTGAGTGATGGTGTGACTTAAAGACAGCAGATCGACACCTACCATGGTGATACCAGAGTTGTTCAGCCTTGATTGAGCGGTGGGAATTCCTCATTTCCAAGGCAAGGCCAGCATATCTAGAGTAAAATCACTGTTCACCTGCTGCAAAAAAGTACTGATTTTATTGACCCCAGAGGGATGATTGGTCTTTGACAACCTACAGATTATGAATATAGGGCTCTAACCACAGCACTGCACATATATACATGTGAAAGCTAAGCTAACGAGGTTTAACCAGGTTTAACTGAACAATATTTTCATTGACCTGTGATAAAAGGCGCAGACCAATAACGCTTGCACAAAATTAAGGTTGCATATGTAGGTTAAAAATAAAAAAAAATATTTCTGCAAGTTATTTTGGTATGTCGCCGCGGTAGCGAGATGTTTACTACCTCGCCTGGTATACAGAAGGTCGTTGGTTCGATCTCGACCCTGACGCCCGCTGTATATTTGGAGTATGGGTGTCTCTCTCTCTCTCCCCCGTGGCCACGTGGATTTTTCTCCGGGTCCTCCGGTTTTCCCCTCCACATTTAGAATCAACATGCGTGTCGAGTATTTGGCTGCTATAAATCTTCACATTATATAAGCCACTTCGTTGAGCTATCATTTGTGGCCAGGTCGCTTCTGAGAAAGAGCTACCATGTAGCACCAGTGGGCCTTACCTGGCAGAAAAAAATAAATAATTGAGCAGTAATAGTTTTATTTTTTTCTGTTCACTCTGTGTACTTTTCCTGCACTTGAGCTGTATATAAACTCAAAAGATCAGTGCAGAAAGTAGAGACAGAGATGCACACACACAGACCCACTGAGAGCACTCAGCTTGGATTTAACAAAGTAGGTCAGAACACCCAAGGGATGAGACAAATTACCCCCCCCCCCCCCCCCCCCACGTCTCCAACATCGGATCCATTATTATAATGCACAAAAGAAAAGCCCAAACCGTAACGCTTAAAGATTGATGCTGGATACACTTTGAGTCCATTAAGCAAGGCTCAGAGCACAGAAAACACAAAGTTCTCCTTCTGCCAGGTGTGTGCCACTTTGCACGTGCATTCAATGTTCGATGCCGTTACGAGTGCCTCGTTAATTTCGCTGCTTTATATAAATGTGTTTGCTTTTTTTCTTCTTCCAACCAACGGAATGTGGAAGATGCTTTGTGTTTTGCCGACGACCTAAAGAAGAGGATGCCGAGAAGAGGAGGAGCACGGCATAAAGAAAGGTTGGCGGCGTGTTTTTATTTCACGCACGCAGGCGCCACGCGCCGACGATCGAGTGTTGGCTTTGCACGGAACCTGTTCACATCACCCTACAGTACAATGCGACGATGTGGACTTAGCAGAAAATGATGATCGCTGGGGCACGTATTCGACAATGGTGATGGATGGCGGTGGATGGGGGCATGCATCAGACATGTCGCCTCAGCCTCAAATGAGTACCTGGTGCGATGTGTGAACATCGCCACGAGGGAAGACAAAAGCGGCCGGGCGTGGTGTTGGCCACCCACTTCCTCGTGTGCAGTTCCGGCCTTCATAGGTGATACTTGCTAAGAGCACCGGCCCCAACAGTCTGTTACAGGCTATTTGGGGGATCTTTGTTCTTTGTATCAGACAATGGTGATGAGTGGGGCATGTATCAGACAATGTTGATGAGTGGGGCATCTTTCAGACAATGTTGATAAGTGGGGCATGTATCAGACAATGGTGACGAGTGGGGCAGGTATCCGACATTGGTAATGAGTCGGGCATCTTTCAGACAATGTTGAAGAGTGGGGCATGTAATGGACAATGTTGATGAGTGGGGCATGTATCAGACAATGGTGATGAGTCGATGTTAAAAAAAGCATCGTGGACCCAAGATATACGCTGAATTGCAAATCATGGCGCGTGATGGACAAGGGTTGTTATCTTTGCGAAAATAAAATTCTGCAGCGTGACTGTGACTGTGAACGCCACCTTTAAATGTGCGTCGCTCCTCCTCGTGTGAATGTACAGAACGAGAAGATTGCTCGTGGAATCTCACGATCGACGTTCTCTCTAAATAGTCGAGTTGCCGTCAAAACCTCCCCCTCCCATGCCCCCACGCCCCCACGCACATTCTGACGCACGCGTTAGTCCATTCAGGGGACTTACATAGCAAGGGAAACTGGCAGTCACACGCACACAGATCCATACATATACACACGTACACATTGGAACAATGAGATACGCATACCCACCCTAAAATACGGAGATATATACACAAAGACACAGCACACATATATATAGACAATGACAAAGATCGACCATTGTGCCCTCTAGATTGCTGGGTCAGGTCCGGTGAGCGAGAAGTTATTGAGGCCGGCACGGCACACGAGGGTGCGTGGTGTGGCCAATGTTGCGCGATAACCATGACATCACCGATCTCTACAAAGACAAAGACCCCCCCGTGTGGCCTCAACAGACTGTTTGGGCAATTGCTGTTAGCGAGTAGCTCTTGTGAAGGCCGGCACGGCGCACGAGGGGGTGGGTGGCCAGCACCACGCCCGACCGCCTTTGTCTCCTCCAGTAGCGATGCTTACACATCGCACTAGTTACTCATTTGAGGCTGAGTCGACCTAGGGGAGGCCCCGGACTGGTTCAGAAATTCACCACTGATGTTAGCCGTGGCGGATAATCGAACGCGGGCCATCGGTACCGCGCTGACCACGATCGCAACCACTCCATCCGAACACGCACAGATGTACAAACACACACGCGCGCGCGTGCACACACACACACAAGCACACACACACACTGCATGTTTGTATTATCTTTGATACAGCCAACCGAGCGCGGGCAGAATGACATCGCAAGCAGTGCGGGAGGCTGCACGTGAACGCAGCCAGAACGCAGGGCTCAATCTGTCATCATGAGCCACCTCTCACAGGGAAATAGGCGTCACACTGATAACCCATCACAACCAGGGCAGCTAATCTGAGCTTTAGGGAAAGTAACATCCGTTTAGCAGCCCGTTTGTGTGAAAATGTCACGTAACCCACTTGTGATGCTGAAGGTTAAAGGAAATTAAATCCAAGCACACACACGCACACACACCGCTTGGATAAAATAAATATTTCTTATGTGTGTGTGCGAATGTTTATTGTGCTGACCAGTTGCCTGAATGGGTCATATGAGTGGCTCCTGAGGTTTTGCAGCAAACAAGAAAACAACGAGCAGAGAAGCCGTTGAGTATTCATGAATTCCGGATGTGCGATCGCGGAGATACAAAGAGGCTGCGAAGTTCTCCAATCACTCGCGTTCTCAGTGCGCGTGGTCCATGTTCAACATTCGACGGCAATCTTCCTATGGAGTGAATGGCGCCCGTTATGGGAATGTGGAAAAATTCCACCACTGGCTCAGGGTTGTTGACAAATGTGGGTAGACATTCGCCATTGTGTTCCCGCACCTCCGATTAAGCACGGTTGGCTACGTACGGTGCGAAAGAAGTTCAACGTACGTACTTATGTATGGCGTATGTGTCAAAAAAGTCAAAGTGTCTCCTGGCTCAAATGAGCGTTGGGCGAGCGCATATCTCAAACGGGTCAACCTGAGCCAGTGGTAGGCCAATCCTCACCTTCCTTGCTAATGCAGGGCCAAGTCTCTCGACAGAGCAACCACGATCAACGTCCTACAAAGCGCAACTCATTTCCCCCCCCCCCCCACCCCATGCAGATGATGGAGCGACTAACTTGGTATCAGTCGACATATTATATAAAGAACTCAACAACAACGACAACGATGATGATGGGGCGCCGAGTTGCTTTCAGTCTGCGAGTTCACTGTTATCTGGACGTTTGTGTTTTAAAGGAGGCCTGAGTTGTGTGCGGAGTCAAACTGATACACTATCTGTGAACCTGAGCAAAGTTGGGCACACCGTGACTTGCTAATCTCACTAAAACGTCATTTAGTTACACGAAGGGCAATGCCTCATTTTTGACACCCATCTGATAGCAATGCTCCCCATTGGCATCCATGCCACTCATCACAGAGACAAAGGCAAATAGAAACATCCCCTCTCTGGCCGTTTTCACACACTGTTGGGGGACGTTTCGACAACGAGCACCTATGAAGGCTGGTACGGCACACGAGCGGGTGGGTGGTCAGCAGCGTGCCCGGTCGCCTTTGTCTCCCGCGTGACGATGCTTACACATTGCACCAGGCACCCATATGAAGCCGAGTGGACCTAGGGGAGGCCCAGGACTGGTTCAAATAATCGTTGCTGGTCTCAGCCATGAGCAGGAATCGAACTCGGGTCGCTAGGTTCGTAGTGCAGCCATGAACTGCTGCCATATAGCTCCCCACTGCTCACATAGACATACATCTACACAGACAGCCATGCCCCAATCCTGATAGCCAACCCCTCAGGAATGCCACCACTGCCCCTCCTCATACCAATGCCTTCTGTGATAACATTGCCATGATGTCCCACCATTGGACAGCCGTGACCACATTCTAAAAGCAGTGTCCCCTCTTTAACTGCCATGCCCCCTCTCCATAGCCATGCCCCCTCTTGAAAGCCCACCCACTGGCATTAATTTATGTGGCCGCGCCCTGCTGATATGACTCAATGAAATCGAAACTGGTCCAATGCTTGCCTTGTTTAAACAAATGTTACCAGCGAAGATTGATCCGGAAAAGCCAATTCGTCAATCCAGTAAAAAATCAATCTCAGCAGCATCCTTCTCCTCCTGAAATGGGCATTGGGGTGGTGGTCTTATCCGTTGGTGGCCTTGAG